AAAATAAAATAAAATAAAATAAAATAAAATAAAATAAAATAAAATAAAATAAAATAATTCAATTATCCAAAAATTGTACGTTACCCTTTTCATTTGTAATTCTTGAAGGCTGAATATGCAGACTTATTGGATATCTGTATTTAATTATTTTATGAATTTTCTATTCATGTACTTTTGCTATTTTTCTATTATTAGTGAGTTAATTTTTTTGTTATTTTTTATAGAACTTTACAATTAACAACAGTAATGCTTGGTCATATATACTGCAAAACATTTCTTCCAAGTTATCATAATAAAAGTCAAATTGAGCACTGGAATTTCATGAATCTGCACATACCGTGTTATTACAAAACCAGATGATGTCCCCTTCATTACCAGTGTAGAAAAGTATCGATCCACCATTTTTCTTCCAGTATTTATCAGCTACTAGGTACCGCTGATTAAAAGTTTTCACAGTATTAAATCCAAAATGATCAACCTGTGATAAAAACAAAACAAACAAAACATATTTCAAAGGAAAGTAATAAAATGAGATCAACACAAAGGTAATTAATTCTTCCATTAAAATCAATCTATGCTACAAAAATAGTCACAAGAAATTTTAACTTCATTGTTTTATTTTTAATAGTAGTATTGATAATATTATTTTGAAATCATTTTCTTTGTATTATAAAATAAAGCAATGTTTGCTATTGGTAGTCAAGATTTTCAATGTAAAAGAAAAAATACAATTATAAAGTCAAGTAGCTACTTAAAAACATAATGTTAAATTTGAATCATTAATACAATGTGAACCCTTTTTTAATTTTTTAATGCATTTTTTAATTGGCAAATAAAATTTTACATATGGTGTATATAACATGATGTTCTGAAATATGTATACACTGTAGAATGGCCAAATTGAGCTAATTAACATAAGCATTACCTCACATATTTATCATTTTTTGTGATAAGAACACTTAAAATCTACTCCCTTAGCAATTTTTAAGTATATAATACATCCTACTATTTTTCAAAATACAGTTTTCCCTTACTATCTGAATTTTCATTATACACAGTTTCAATATTAAAAATTCATGAACTAAGTAGACTACTGAAAAGGTCCATAAACCTTGTCATCCCAGCACACCACAGATATTCTAAGTTATAAGATTTTCATGTCTATACCATTTTCACCAAAAGAAACCAGGGCTTATTAGTGAAGTGGCTGAGTGACATTTGGGACAAGGAAGCTGCAAGATAAGCCTATGCATTTTGCTGTGCAAGGAAGCAAGAAAGTGCTCAGAATTAATGGAGAGTTATATTTAAAGAACATAGGAACCAACTACAAGGGACTATCACTGGCAATTGTTTTAATAAATCGAAGGTAAAACAAAAACAAATTAAACATAAAAAGAATAATCACTGTAGTTAACTGAAACATTCAATTCATGAAACTCCATTCGTCCACAAAAATATTTTTAAAAAGGAAAGAAAGGAAAAAGTTCATTTGCCACCATTGAAGTTGTCTATTAAATCAACTCCTTACTTTGAAATTGGGAATTAAAAAGTAAAAAATTCAACATTTAACCTGCCTGTCCAACAGAACTGTATTTGATGGCAGCGAATAGTCCCAGTTAATAAAGAAGAGCTGTGTTTGGTCAAATGTCAGCTAATGTAGAAGGAATGACAGAGTTAGAATAACGACAGTTCTGTAAATTTACTGATTCAGGCAAGAATTATTAACTGGTGTTAAAAGCATTTAGAAAACGGATAATACGAAAATGAACATTCATATAGTATCAAAGTAATACCATAGAGAATACTCTCTTGTCACAAGGGGAAAATATAACTATGATGGAAGGATCAGGCTGTCATCACTTTAATCTAGTAATCAATTTTGTTAGCATCATCAATGGTATAGCAGGCAAGGATTATGTATCTCCTAATGTGGCACAACTTCAAGCCCATATCACCTATGATGTGTTCCTGCCAAAAATGTTCCATTTTGTCTTAATCCAGCCTTTAGATCTAATTTCCAGGTTCCGGGAAATATAAAGGTAAAAGAGCAAGTTGAAGATGTCTTTAAAAATAAAGACAACAGATACTGAAGGTAGGACATTTTACAAGACAATTGACAAGGCAATATCATGAGAAAGGACTGTTTTAGATTAAATGAATTTTAAAGAACATAATAACCAGACATAATACATGACCCTGGATTGGATCCTAGTTTGAACAAACAATATATAAATAATGATGTAGGGACAAATGTGTGATTTTAATATGGAGTGGTTATTAAATGACACAGGTTGAGCATCCCTAATCCAAAACTCCAAAATCTAAATGCTCCAAATCTGAAACTTTTGAGCACCAACATGATACTCAAGGGAAAGGTTCATTAGAGCATTTCAAATTTTGGATTTTCAGATTAGGTATATTCAATCAGTAACTATAATATGACTATTACATAATCAAAAAAAAATCCAAAATCTGAAATGCTTCTGTTCCTAAGCATTTCAGAGAACAAATACTCAATTTGTACTAAAGACTTGTTCATTTTGTCAAAAGTGATCATATTGTTTTGGCTACATATGAAAATGATTTCTTAAACTAAACTTTAAATATATTTTTGAGATTATTTTTACCCTTTGAGATTTTTTAACTTAATATTTAAAATGTAATTATCAAATACTACAACATGGTAAGATTCATGTACAACTATCTGAATTTACAGAGTTACCCTGCAGTACAGTCTCACTGAGCCTTTAGCATCATGGTGGCTGAATTCCTCAGTGCTTTGGAAGGACAGAAATGAGAATGCAGCACCAAGTCTGGATCAGACATATGCTGTTCCAGTGCTGCTCCAGTCTCCCAGGAACAGTGCTTAGTTCTGACCTAAACCAGACTGTAAACCCTGTAAGACTTGCCTAGGTCATTCTAAAACAGATGAGACTTCCTGCACCCAGCTCTAGCTACATACACAATTCCCATTCACACCACAGGTTCCAAAATGCAAGTGTCTCAAAACTTTACCTAACTGCATACTTCCTGGTATCTATGATCATCACCATATATAGTCCTAAAACATAATATTCTGATCTAAAGACTGTCTACTTTTCAGGAAAATAAGCAGTTTTTATGGACTAGGTATGTAATAATGATGTCCATGTGCTATAAACCCTTCCATTATACATGTTAATTTACTCAGTCTTTCACTCAACGAGAATCTAATGAACTCCTATTCTGGGCCAAGTACTAAGCTAAGCAGTGGGATAAAGAGTTGGCTGAGCTACAGTCCCTGAATTTAACTTAAACTAACTCAACTATATCCACTCAGCCTAAAAATGAAAGGGCAAGAAAGGCAGACAGACAGTGAAAGGAAGACGGACAAGTGATTCCACCTGCTTCCATTCAATTAGTACAGTAGTTCTCCATGTGAGGTCCCCGGACCAGCAGTATCAGCTTCACCTGGGAACTTGTTGGAAATGCAATCACAGAAACCGTGGGGGTAAAACCCAGTAAACTGTGCTTTAACAAGCCCTACAGGTGATTCCGTAAAGTTTTGAAAACAACTGAGTTAGCATAAGCACCAAAATAAGACATTAATTTGTTATTCCTTCTCTTGTTCTAGGTTTTAGAATAGCTAAAATACTGTAAGCATCTCACCATGCTAAATGAGACTCTGGTGTCTAAAGATATGAATTACCACTGAACATACCCCCAAATATAAGCTAACTGTATCATTTGAAACTCAATATGAGAAACCACCACAGGATCACCTTTTGAAGCTCAGCAGGTTTCAACGGGGGAGGAAAAACTGACTGTGTTGGACTTAAAGAAAGGAAGCTCATGGCTCTCTAACAAAATGTCTTCCCATGAGATTGTTGAAGATAATTCTGCCCTAATGATTTTCACTTCACCTCACTGACTACAGAACTGAGTCTTCATGTAAACTGAGATATTGCTGTAGCCTTTAAAAGCAACCCACAAAGAAAAACATTAATACTCCAGTCTAAAATTTTCAAATTTGAAAACATGGGTGTTTGTGTATGTCATGCTAAATATAACTGATAAACAGTTCTTGCCAGAGAAACACTTCCATCTAGAATCACAAGGGCCACAAGAACTTCAGAACCAGAGAAAGCCAAATTCCCTTGTGTGGCCGTGCCCAAGGTACTCCTGCTCCTAGCAATAGCCTTGATTGTTAAGACTGGGGAAAAGAGAGAGGAACCCTGGCAAGATAGCAGACTTGGGAGTTAACAGACCTGAACTTGGATCTCTTCTAACTGTGAAGCCTCGGGCAAATCACTTAACCTCTCTGAACTTTAGCGTCTTCCTGTATAAAATAAGGATAACTGGCCGGGCGCGGTGGCTCAAGCCTGTAATCCCAGCACTTTGGGAGGCCGAGACGGGCGGATCACGAGGTCAGGAGATCGAGACCATCCTGGCTAACACGGTGAAACCCCGTCTCTACTAAAAAAATACAAAAAACTAGCCGGGCGTGGTGGCGGCGCCTGTAGTCCCAGCTACTCGGGAGGCTGAGGCAGGATAATGGCGTAAACCCAGGAGGCGGAGCTTGCAGTGAGCTGAGATCCGACCACTGCACTCCAGCCTGGGCGACAGAGCCAGACTCCGTCTCAAAAAAATAAATAAATAAATAAAATAAAATAAAATAAGGATAACCACGTATAATTCAAAGGATTGCTGTGAGGATAGGGAAAATGTACCTAAAGTACTAGGCATAGTTCCTGATATATACATGCTTAAAAGATGTTAGTTCTCTCCATCCCATCTGCACACCAATCCTAAGCACGGAGTACTTACATGGGAGACAGATTAAGTTCTTCACAGAATTACAGGACCTTAGAATGTCAAAATCTCCCATTTTTTTAGTGCTTCACCTAGGTACTAAACAACTGGAAATATGTAGTGAAATGTCCTTTGCACAACTTGAATTTACAGATTTTCCTTGGCTCCTTCCTATCATCAAGGATATCAACTTCTGGCTAGATAACTAGATAGTTTTCAATACCTAATGGCCAGGCACACTAGGGGCAGTATGCCCTCTGCTGTTGAGAAGTGGGACCCACATGCCACTTCCTGTTCTGGGCTCCTGAATAAAGATTTATGAATCACAACACGAAAAGGTGACAAGGGCCTTAGAAACCATTCCATCTGTGTTTCTCATCTGAAGAAATTAGGCTCGAAGAGGTCACGTGACTTGGCCATGGTCACAAGGCAAAGGCAGAGCTAGAACTTTATTTTTGCAATTTGGTTTATTGAGCCAATTAAATAATAGCACTGTAAAGACAACACAGTATGGCTTCAGAAAGGAAACAAACCTCTCTAGTCATGCACAGCAGTTCTTTTCAGCATATGGCTCAAGAAATTTCATTTTTTTCTTTTTTTTAATTTTTTTTATGGTCCAAGAAATTTCAAAACATGCTTCCCCACTGTACCATGTGGAGGAGAAATAGATCTGTGAGAATGGGTAGG